TTTTTTTTGGTGAGGGTTAAAGCAGAGGGGGGACTGCCTAATTATGCTGACTCAGGTAAACTGGAATCTCCTGTTTTCAGGAAAAACTGATCTGTTGTGGGATGTATCTCAAGTTTCAGTTTGATTATGTGGCATTTAGCAAGAGGGACTTGATTTGGTTTGATCTGGTCTGTTGTGGCCTAGTGCAAAAGCTCAATCCAAAACAGTGGCCTCTCATAATTTTTGTTTAACACTTCTTTAGCTTGGGCACTAGAACCTCTGTGTTCTACGTTGGCCTTTTCCTTGATATTTCATCTTGTATATATTTTTTTGACCCTGGCTTCTATAGTATAGTGTCACCCAGAGGATGTCTGTAAGATGATCAGAACCTTGATTTTCTGGGACAATAATTTACTAAAAGACATAAGTCTATAAATTTAAAAGTTACTTATAACCCATTTTCAAAGCAATCCACACTAAACTAGAATGTTTAAGTTAACTGCAAATGGCTATTGAGGCCCATAAAAGCCAGGCTTGAGGAGAGCAGACTCTGAGGATGGGATCCAGATGTTGCTTTCTCTGACTCCCTCAGCAGGAGCTCACTACCACCTCTGTGATCTCCCCTTCTCTGGATGGGACACAAAGACCTGGGACGGGAGCATATCCAGTTAGGACACATGTAGGTACAATGTTCTTTTATATCACCAGAATTCCTCAAACACAGAGGCTGCTTTTCCAGGTACAGATCTGCTTTCTAAGATATATTACTTTATGGAATATTTCTCCATAGATGACTCCCAAATTCAAATTTAACCTTGATGTTTCCTGAGCTTCGGGATTTAAAAGGATGCTGTCGTGCCATCGCCTCAATGTCCCTAGGCTAAACTCATTATTTTTGCCTCCACTCCAGGTTCAACTGTCTTAAACAAAAAAGAAAATGGATTATCTCGTATAACAATAAACCTGGAGGTAGGTAGGTTAAAATTCTTTTTTTTTTTTTTTAAACAGAGTCTCACTTTGTTATTCAGGCCTGGAGTACAGTGGCATGATCTCAGCTCACTGCAACCTCCACCTCCCAAGTTCGAGTGACTCTCCTGCCTCAGCCTCCTGAGTAGCTGGTATTACAGGAATGTGCCCCCATGCCTGGCTAATTTTTAAATTTTTAGTAGAGATGGGGTTTCACCATGTTGGCCAGGCTGGTCTTGACCTCCTGACCTCAAGTGATCCGCCCACCTCATCATCAGTGACCCAGATTCTTTCCGTATTTTCATTCTGACAGCCTTGGGCTAGTGCCTCTCATAGCTACAAAATGGCTGCCACAATTCCGGCTGACGCAGACCCACACGCAATGTCCAGCAGAAACAGAGACTATTTTTTTTCCTGTGTGTCTCTTTTTAATCAGCAAGGAAAACTTTTCTCAGAATCCTTCAAACAGACTTTCTGGTCTCATATATCCATGTCTAAGCCAGTTACAAGCAAAGAAAAGGAAAATATCATAAATGGCTTAAATTCATATGGCTCATTCCTTAGGGCTGAGAATTAGACCCCCTTCCTCCAAGCACATGGCCATGGAGAGGTGGATGAACTGGGAACAAATTGGGGTTATCTTAGGAGGATTGAAAGGAAAATAGATGGCCTTGTGCAGTGGCTCATGCCTGTAATCCCAGCACTTTGGGAGGCTGAGGTGGGCGTATCACTTGAGGTCAGGAGTTCGAGACCAGCCTGCCCAACATGGTGAAATCCCATCTTTACTAAAATGAAAAAAAATTACCTGGGTGTGGTAGCACAAGCCTGTGATGCCAGCTACTCAGGAGGATGAGGCATGAGAATCGCTTGAATCCAGGAGGTGGAGGTTACAGTGAGC